TTTGTTCAACACTTATTTATCTCTGAGAGCAGCCTTTGTGCTTCTTTCATGTTGCTGTGTTTTGGATGTCAGGCAGAGAAAGGGTCCATGCTCCTTTGTAGTGTCATCACTTACGTCTGCAGAGAACGCTCAAGGTGGGCACTGGCAAGTTCAGTCTAGGCAGCCGTTTCCTCCCCACCCAGCCAGGGGCCTTCTGATGGGGAGAGGGGTGCAGGATGCTGCTCAAGGGGCCTTCTGATGGGGAGAGGGGTGCAGGATGCTGCTCAAGGGGCCTTCTGATGGGGAGAGGGGTGCAGGATGCTGCTCAAGGGGCCTTCTGATGGGGAGAGGGGGTGGGGTGCAGGATGCTGCTCAAGGGGCCTTCTGATGGGGAGAGGGGTGCAGGATGCTGCTCAAGGGGCCTTCTGATGGGGAGAGGGGGTGGGGTGCAGGATGCTGCTCAAGGGGCCTTCTGATGGGGAGAGGGGGTGGGGTGCAGGATGCTGCTCAAGGGGCCTTCTGATAGGGAGAAGGGTAAGGATGCTCAAGGGGCCTTCTGATGGGGAGAGGGGGTGGGGTGCAGGATGCTGCTCAAGGGGCCTTCTGATGGGGAGAGGGGTGCAGGATGCTGCTCAAGGGGCCTTCTGATGGGGAGAGGGGGTGGGGTGCAGGATGCTGCTCAAGGGGCCTTCTGATGGGGAGAGGGGGTGGGGTGCAGGATGCTGCTCAAGGGGCCTTCTGATAGGGAGAAGGGTAAGGATGCTCAAGGGGCCTTCTGATGGGGAGAGGGGGTGGGGTGCAGGATGCTCAAGGGACTTTCTGATGGGGAGACGGGGTGGGATGCAGGATGCTCAAAGGGCTTTCTGATGGGGAGAGGTGCTGTGGGATGGTCTGTATGTCAAATGTGTTGCTGATTGGTCAATAAATAAATCACTGATTGGCCCGTGGCCAGGCAGGAAGTATAGGCGGGACTAACGGAGAGGAGAATAGAGAGGACAGGAAGCTGGGTGAGGGAGACACTGCAAGCCGCCATCAGGACAAGGAAGATGTAAAGTACCGGTAAGCCACAAGCCGCGTGGCAAGGTATAGATTAATAGAAATGGATTAATTTAAGCTGTAAGAACAGTTAGCAAGAAGCCTGCCACGGCCATACAGTTTGTAACCAATATAAGTGTCTGTGTTTACTTGATCGGGTTTGAGCGGCTTGGGACTGGCGGGTGAGAGAGATTTGCCCTGACTGTGGGCCAGGCAGAAAAACTCTAGCTACAGAGAGGGGGTGGGGTACAGGATGCTCAGGAAGGACAACCACCCAGGCCAGGGCTACAGACTCAGAGTGGGGTTTTGAGTCAGCAAACTGAAGCCTACAGGCCAAATCTGACTCCAGGGCAGCCTGAGGCACAGCCAAGCCTGGACTGTGCACTCTGTCAATGGCTGGTTTCTCAGTGGCAGTCAGGTAGTGTGGAGAGACAAGAAGGCCCACAAAGTGAAAACTCTTAACAGTCTTGATATTTACTGGAGAAAGCATGACGACCTCTGCCCACAAGACTGCTTGAGAATTACTCCACAATGAGCAACATGGTTAAAGAGTATCTTTCCTCAGATATGTTCCTCAGTGGTATGGGCTATGTTTAACTTTGGATGTGAACCACAAACACCTGCATTCAATAAGCCGCTTCACTCTCACCTAGGGCTAAGGTGATACGCCCCAGAGCCAGGGTTGGAGCTTCTATGTTACTGCTCTCCTAACAGCTTCACACCTGGCTACAAAAGAGCTGCTAGAGCACCAGACATTGCATCTCAGCCAGGCACCTTAGTCAAGTTAGGAGGCAAGTAGCACGGGTTCCCAAAGTGGAAATCAAGTAGAAAGCAAAAGGATGGAGGAAAGAAACACATACAATACTTTATCTCAAAAGACCCCAACAAGTAGCTTTGCTTTTATCCAAGAGCTGAGGTTTATAATCTGAGGTGCAAAGGAAGCATCAGTAAATGTCCATTCTGGGATAAATAAGAGTGCATCTGTTTTGAACAAGTATAGAATGGAAGATGAAGCTGGACCAGGCAGTGTAAGTTTGTAATCCTAGCCACTCAGGAGGCCAAGATGGGAAGATCCAAGTTCAAGTTTGCCTGAACTAGAGTGAATTCAAAGTCAGTCTGGGCAACGTATTGAGATCTCATCTCAAAAAGCAAAAATAAGTCAGTGGTAGAGTGCAAGGCCTTGGGTTCACTCTCTAGTACTGCAAAAAGAGTTGGTTCTTGGGAGTAGAGGGGGAAAGAAGCCTTACTGGTGTAACAAGTTACCATGAAGGAAGACTTGAGTCTCCCCCTGGCCAACACCCAACCTCCCCTGCCAAGCCCGTGCAAGCATTTGGTCTAGGAAACCAGTGCATTCAAATGAGTGGAAGAAAGGCAATCACACTTCTACCACATGCTCATCAATCAAGACAGAGTGGAAGGATGGAGAAAGTGGTAGAAAAGCTTACTAGCAAGAAAACCTAAGATGGAGAGACTTCTGCCTCTGGAGCTCAGACAATTTCTGACTAAGTATTTTGCAGTGACTTATTAAAACCAAGAGAAGCAATTTCTCTCTTAAGGAAGGTGATAAAGCAGACACAGGGAAGTCGGATGCTAGTGGTGCACGCCTTTAATCCCAGCACTCAGGAGGCAGAGGCAGGTGGATCTCTGAGTTAGAGGCCAGCCTGGTCTACAGTGAGTCCCAGGACAGCCAGGGCTACACAGAGAAGCCCTGTCTTGAAAAATCAGAAAAACAAAACAAAACAAATAGGCATAGGGAGGAGATGGTGAGGTTAGAGGGAGAGGAGGTGAGCTCTCAGGACATCACAAAGGGGCATAGGGAGGAGAAGGTGAGGTTAGAGGGAGAGGAGGTGAGCTCTCAGGACATCACAAAGGGGCATAGGGAGGAGATGGTGAGGTTAGAGGGAGAGGAGGTGAGCTCTCAGGACATCACAAAGGGGGAAGCAGTAACTGAAGATGGGTACGGATGTGTGGACAGGAGGGGAGACAGAAAAGATACACCTGGGGCCAGAGAGCATCATGGTAAGGAGGCATAGCAGGTGAAGTGGAAATAAAGAGCTTTAAAAGGTGAGAGAGACAAATGATAGGAACAGAGTCAGATAAGGACGTTCTCAGAATGAACCTGTAAAGATACAATTTAAGAAAACTCCCCCAAAGCAAAAGCAGAGTCAAATCTCATTTTTGAACGATCTCACATGGGCAAGAGCAGGTTCCCACTGAGGGGTATCCTGGGCAAGCAAGCCAGCTTTTTAGATAACGAAATAATCCTTTAGGACAAAAAATAAAAATAGTCATGTGTGGCCTTAGATTTCTCTGTACCAAGTTAAACTCAAGAAATCAAGAGAGTAACACTATATGTTATGTCTGACCCAAGTGACACTCATTTAGGCATAAACAGACTGCCAGTTTTAAAAATACACAGGGTCATAAGATACTGCTTCCATTACTCTTTGAGCAAACACTGTCCTTGACAACGAACTTTAGGATGTCTAAAGAATGGGGGAAATGAGACAAGAGTTGAAAATGAGAGTACCAAATACCTTCATCTGGGAAAAGAAGAGTTAAAAAAACAAAACAAGAAGCAGAAAGAGGGAACATGTTTAGCAGGGTAGAGAGGAAGCGCAACAACATGGGTGTGATACGAGTGTGAAGACCAGGAAGTAGGGAGGGGTGCTAGGCCAGATTCAGTGACCATTCAAGTCTCCAACAGCTGGGAGTCAAGAAGGGACTTTGCAGAAGGGGCCAGGAAGGTGAACATCTTTCCACCTCTCCTGCTCACGAACTTCTGAAGCTTCCATCACAGTTAATGCAAAATCCAAGTCTCAGGCTTTGCACCTCCTGGCCCTGCCTGATCCTGTGGATACATCTCTGCCTCAGGGTCACCTCTTCGCATTTACTTCCCATAGAACTTCTAATCACATGTCCTTGCTGCCTTCGGCATCTTGCATGTGTCACTGTCCCACTAACAGAGGATTCTACTGATTTCTATTTTGTTTTATGTAGGTTTTTTTTTTAAATAGTTTGAGACAGGGTCTCACTCTGTACCCCAGGTTGTCTTTGAACTCAAAGCAATCCTCTTGCCTCAGTTTTCCAAGTGCTATGATTATAGGCATGAGCTATTACACCTAGCTTTCAAGTCTGCTTTCTGGAATGTTCTTTTCCCATTCCTAGACTGCTCACCATACTTTTTTTCTGAGTATTTTCTATGGTGCTAGAGATTGAGCCTGGGACCTCACGCATGCTAGGTAAATGCTCAACCACAGAGCTGCATCCTCAGTCCTTTTTTTAATTTTTAAAATTTGGGACAGGATCTCATTAAGTTCCCAGCCTGTCCCCGAACTCTGTAGCTCAAACTGACTTTGAACTTGCAATCCTCCTGCCTTGGTCTCTGGAGCAGCTGGGATATTATAGGCAGGCACTGTTAGGCCATTGCTCACCATGTTTATCTGCTTACCTTCAATATCTTCAAGAGCTGATCCAATCCCCCAGCTGGCACCAGCTCTTTGATTGATTGATAATGTGTTTTCCCTCATTAGACTGCAAGTGTGTGGTTATTTAACATGTGCCTTTCCCACAAGGCAGCAAACTCAGAGAAGACACTGGTAGGAGCACAGTGAGTATGAAGACCCACAGTGGATCTGTGTCACTTGTAAATGCACACTAAGGTGTGCCTCCCCGACTTTCTTCCCGTCTCATCAACTCTGCCCCTGACGGTGATATGGCTAGGAACCACCTCTCAAACAAAGGACCTTTCAAACATTCTGCTTCATGCACTTCCTTCACCAAGGCAGAAAAGGACAAAGATGCACTTCAGGAAATCTTCTAAGAGGACTGATGCAAGTTTTCACATACAGCCTCCCTTCCAGCACAAATTCAGAAGACATTGTGTCTTGGCACACTGGGTTTCAGAGAAACTCTGCTGTGAGTCTCTAGGTCCCATTTGTCACACAGAGATGGTAAGGGATAAAATCAGAAAGCTTTTCACTTACTTTGGGTGTTCAAACTTGTCTATAAGATCAACCTTTTCCACCAGGTCTCCTCCAACTGTTCGGACGATGTCGTAGAAATCATTCTCCGTGTAATTCTCGGAGGGCAGCCAGAATGAAATGTCATTGAACACAGCGGGGTACTTGCTAAGAGGCTAACAAAAGGAGAGAAGAAAAGACGTACACTTGTTAGTTGCTGAGAATACATCTTTTCATGGAAGATTTCAGTTGGGCAATTAGGAAATACTTATAAAACATTACTTTAGTGTTTGAATTTTCAGAAGCAAAATGAATTTAAAAGACAAAATCAATGTTCAAAATTAGTAAATTCCAGTTTGAATGCTACAGATTCTTACCACATTCATGTATAACACTACCATATATTGTATTTACTTTGTCACTAATGGTCAATTTACTAAAAAGTATTTTGAATGTGTTGTGTTTCAGTTTTTTTATTTGACTACCTCAGAAAAAAAAGAGTTCAAATGTAATTAACATGGGATTCATTAACTTCTTGTGGTACTTTCAGGAACCATCTTAATAGGGAAATAAGGGCTTGTCAAAACTGAGATTTCAATTAGTAAAGCCATTCTTTGTTAAAATTTCTAATTATGAAAACTAGGGCCTACGCTAAGTCATCATTTAGAGATTATTTTTTTAATTATGTTTTAAAAATGTGATAAACACAAATGTGTCATTTCCCCCATTTTATTTCACTTATTCTTGCTTTAACAGTTCAGTCATTCATCATATTAAATATTTAAAATTAGCTGCACGTTTTGAAGATGCTGCATTTGTATTCATGCCTTTATGTATGTATATCATAATTATATATATAGACACACACATATAGACTTTAGTCTATAAGTAATACCACAATGAGAAACACTGCAGCATGTAACTAGGAAATGTTACAGGAATACCTGCTAAGCCTGTATATTTTCTAGATGGGCAGATGTATAAATTGAGTTATGCTAAATCTGGTATTACTACAAACCCTTTGGTGAATCATTGATTAGAAGAAATGTAAAATTTTTAAATGGCATAGTCTCTGAAGAACGAAAGACTTATACATAAGTGATTACTGAACTTGGAATGTCAATAAAGTTGTCAAACAAATGAGTCAGTTCGGAACACACATTTCAAACAAGTGTGACAGAGCTGCAGTGTGGCTGCTCTCTGCAGAACACCCTGGATCCCCAGAAGCTCCCCGTGCTTTCTCTCCCTGGAGGGAAGTCAGGATGCTGTAGTCACAACCCAGGGACAAGGAGAGCAGATGGCACTTCTGTGGCTATGCAGGAGGCTTTCCCTTTTATTGTCCCCACTCTTCTTTTAAGAGCCATTGGAATTTAGGGAGACGAGAGACTGAGACTACAAGGACTGCCATAAAATCTTCTCTTCAATGGGTCCAACCTGAGGTACCACCCTTCCTGAGTTCTGATGAGAGGTGAGGTCACAGAGAGATGGGGAAAGGTACCCCAACAAAGCATCTTGGCTAGCAGCCTGTGGACAAGCCAATATAGTGACACATCAGGAAGAATACCTCCCCCCACAGATACGTAAAAATACAGATTATAATAAATACAGCTTCAAAACTTACCCATTTAAAAGCAACAGCCCACACAACTAACTACTTTGTTATTTATTTTGAAGCTATGAAACATAAGTCTAAAGTACAAAATTAACTAAATGGAGTATGAAGATTGGTGCTGCAAATTGACAGAATCTAGAACCACCTGTGAGAAGGGCCTCTGGGCACCTGTGGAGAATTACCCTCATGTGTTAAGTAGGAGGACCTGCTAATGTGGGCAGGACTATTTCTATTCCCTGGCTTTGAGCCTGGGCTGTGTAAAACGGAGAAAGGAGCTGTGCACAGTGCTCCTGATTGTGGATTTGATGTTGGCAGCTGCTTGACGCTTCCTCCACCTTGACTCCCCCTTCATGATGGGCTGTATCCTTGAAGGGTGAGCCCAAACAAACCCTTTTTCCCTTAAGTTGCTTTTGTTAGGGTGTATTATCACAGGAACAGCAAAGGAGACTAAGATAGGAAGTACTTATTTTACTAACTGGCAGGTATCAATGGGACACCTAGTGCTTATCAACGGGAGTTTAACTCTGCTTTGTAAATAAGGACAATTGCAGAGCCATGATTCCCAAGATGTGGATTGGTCTTCAGGTGCTTAACCACCAAAATACTCTGGTAAGGGTGGTAAGTGGGTCAGTGTTAGAGCACCTGTAAGAATCAGACTCCTTGTGTATTTGTCTCCAGGGGCAGGCAGCCAGTCTGTTTTGAATTTTTTCTGAAGTCTAGCAAAATGTGTAAAAGGCTGTCTTTGTGACTGAGAATACTGTTACTTTCCTGTGTCAGTTATGAAAAATACTCTAGTATTATTTCTATTCATCAGAATTATACAGCTTAAACAGAAATAATCTTTCTGACCATCCACAGCTATATGTGTGCCCAGAAGATGGAATATTTTCTTGAGGACAACACACAAGCAGTGGGGAGACTATCCATAGCTGTTATTAGGGAAGATATGTAGTGACACGAGAGAAATTAGACAGTCAGTGACTCCACAGTCAACTGGTCAGTGACTCCACAGCCTTGCCAGGTGGGGATCCCCATCAGAGAGTTATTTATTCATTGGTGGGTCGACTTGTTACATACTATTTGTCACCTCCTATATACTCCCATGGCCTGAGGCACATGAGGATAATGAACTGGAGTCCACCTAGAGCGGCACAGCAGATACTGTCTCAACAGTGCCTCCCTTCCTACCAAAAAAAAAAAAAGAAAAGAAAGGGGCCAGGGGGACAGAATACACAGAATCACAAAAGGCTGTAAAGATAGACAGATGAAAAAAAGAAAATCAATAAATAGAAAATAATAATTATGGTCCTTACTAACTCAAGTATATAAATTAAATATCCTAAACATGATTTAATCACAGAAGGATTGTCAGAGTAGATCAAAATTCAAAGATCAGTTACATGTGGGGCCTACAAGAAACCTACTTTCCATGGTTACTCTCAATTGTCAAACTGATGAGATCTAGAATCACCTGGCATATTCAAGGGAGGTTATCTTGGTCAGGTTAATTGGGGTAGAGGGCTTCATCATCACAGGCAGCCATACTCCTTGGAATAGCTGAGGAGCCCCCATGGTACTGGACTAGTCCCTCTGGATAAGTGAGACAGTTGTTTAGCTTGAACTGTTTAGGGGGCTCCCATGCAGTGGTATCGGGACCATCCCTAGTGCAAGAGCCGGCTTTTTGGAGCCTAGTGCCCATGGTAGGACACTTTGTGCAGCCTTGGTGCAGGGAGGAGGAGCCTGGACCTGCCTCAACTGAATGTACCAGGCTCTGCTGACTCCCCATGGGAGACCTTGCCTTGGAGGAGGTGGGAATGGGGGGTGGGTTGGGAGGGGGAAGGCTGAGGGATGGGAGGAGGGAGGACAGGGGAATCTGTGGTTGGTACGTAAAATGAATAGAAAATCTCTTAATAAATATATATATACATATATATGTGAGAAAAAAAGAATCAGACTCTGGCTTCCATCATAAAAAAAAAGGGGGGGGGGAAGAAAGAAAAGAAAAAAAAATCACTGGTGGTAGTTCCTAGGATTGAGTCCTAAAAGTTAAAACGATTCCTAAAAGCTTCTACCTATTTGTGGGTTCTCCACATTCGGAACTGTAACAATACGTTTTTCAAAAACTTGGATTAAACAGACAATATCTGCTCATGACAGAAAATCCACACCAGCAACTATGGATCAAATGAAGTCATTTTTCAAATCTCCTTACACCAAGAAGTTAGACTGATGGTTCACAGTATGGTTTTTATCAGGTGTTTAAGGTAAAAGAACTGCTTTCTATATATAAAGCATTTCATAAAACAGAAGGAGGTAAGCCCAACATATTTTATGAGGTTTAAAGACAAGATCAGACAAGCACAGTACAATTCCTAAGAAAATTGTCCATCAATTTATGTTGCGCCCTACCTGAAGAATCCTGCCTTCCTATTAGTAAATACAGTTAAAATTTATGTTAATATAAAGTTTCAAGATGGACAAGGAAGGATTATTCTAAAATTACAGGAGTGACTTCAAGCCCAAACCAATTAATATGCCAAGAGAAACAACCCATGATTATTTCATAAGGAGGATGTATTTGATAAATTCATTATTAATTCATTATAAAGGAAACAATCAACAAATTAGAGACAGAAGGCAACTTCCTTAGCCAAAGTAGGTCTCGTATACAAACTGGCAGCAGACCCCAGATTTAGCCACATCACTTCAGGAGCATCTCCAAAGGTTACATATAAGAGTAAGCAGCTCCTCTCACCACTGTCCTTCTTCACATAGCAGATCACACCCAAGCAGGAAAGAATTAGAACAGGCTGGGGACATGGCTCACTGGCTAAAGCTCCTTCAGTACAAGCATGAAGACAAGAGTCACACAGAAGTGCTGGGAGGGTGTGCTAGCCCATAATCTAGCCTGGTGGAGCCAGGGCCCAGAGCAAGCTGGCTAGTAAGGCTAGCCATATTGGAGAGCTCTGGAGCTAAATCCCCAACCCCGGTGCTTAGCACTTCTGAGAAAACTGTTCATCCTTTCTTCATGCAGAGCAGGGAGATCATGGAGTTGTGTGCTTACCTGGCCCACCCTAGGCCTCCGATTTGGTACCTCTTGAGTTCATATTTCACTCTGTCCTCAGGATACCACGCTTTGCCCACCTGTGCAACCTAGCACCCTCTGATAAATGCCCCGTCAACTCTATTGGTATCCATTGTGCTATAGGGTGCATGCCCATGTCCCAAGTCTCCCAGTGCAGTTTGGACTCTCGAAATAGCAGTTCTCCACACTATCTGGGCTACATGAGCTCAGCTTCTGAAGAGGATGCTGTTTCCCTTTTTGCTTTCTTTGAGACAGCAAAGCATTAGAACACACTTTCTCAGGAACTTCCACCCCAAGTCTATTTACTTTATTCCAGTTTATTTTCCTCTTTATTAAGGGCTGATTCTTCTAGGGATGCACTCCCCAGATTTGGGGGAGTCAAGAGTTCAATTTCCAGACACCAGGCATTAAATGGGACATAAATGAAAATGTGGGCAGTTTTTTTTTTTTAAATCTCAATTATTTGTCTCTCTCTATTT